GGGGGGGGGGCGGCTTTGAGGGGAAGTGGAGAGTTAGAACGCGTGCGGTACATGTTCAACACGTATAAGTTGGCCTTTCATTTCAGAGCAGTTTTTCAGCGCGCCCATTGCCAAGGTTGTGTGCCGTTTCGTTCCGGCCGACTGCGCGACGGAGGGGGGGGGGGCAGCTCTGCTGTCACATTCTCTCCGTCGCTACTATGGAATTACGCCATCGGATGCAAATCGTGCGCGCGCTGAGTTGGCGGCCTGATTTCGTTAGACTGCTTCGATTGAATGGGACTGTGTTTTCGGGACCTCTCCCTCATCGCCCGAGGAGTAGAGGCCCCGGATCGGTGGGTCGGTTGGGTCAGCGCTTACCTCTTCCTTACATTTGCGTGTAATGGGCCGATTTTATGTGACACTGGCCCATGTGGCGCGTATGGCTCCGGTGGGTCGCGCGATCTTTAGCTTGGTCGCTTGGGCCGGAATGGGTCAGCGTGGTTCGCTCGGGTTCGCTTGACCCAAGCGACCCAAAGGTTGCATTGCACCTGTCACCACCAGCTGGCGCTGCACTCGGCTGCAGGCGAGGGGCAGGGAGATGCGGGGTGGGAGACAAAATTTTGCTATAGGCCGACCCAAAAGACCCAGACGGGATTTTTGTTAGCGTTAGCGTTATCGCGGTAATTTTTTTGGCGTTTAGCGTTAGCGGATAGCGCCGCTAACGCGGTCCATAAGCGTTAGCGCGATAGCGTTAATCGGGTTTCGCTTAGCGTTAGTGTTAGCGCGCTAACGTTTTTCGCGGTTTTTCGTTAGCGATAACAACCCTGGACTGGACCCATGTGGCCCATGGTGGGTCTGACAGACCCAACTGACATGCGTATGGGTCGCATTGGTCAAGACTGGGTTGCGGCTGGGCGGAAAAATAAGCCAAAATAGCTTGGGTCAGAAGAACCCACCGATCCGGGGCCTCTACCGAGCCGCCACGGGTCACCATTCCGTTTGGTCGCCGGCACCACTTGCACTGGAAGTACTGTAGCTGCTCGACCAAAGGGGCAGTTCTAAATACTGTCGTCCTTCCCTTCCCCTCCCCTCCCCCTGGAGCTGGACTCACGCTGCGGGCGCCAATTGTGTGGCAGGCCCGCCCCGCCCCCCATGGCGCCTATGCGTTTCTTATTGGAGTGCATCTCTCTCCCTCGCTAGCGATCAACCACTGATCAACCGCTCTCTTTTGGGGGGGCCTTTGCACTTTACACTTGCCGGCGTCATTCTGAGCAGAGCCTAGCAGCGGCAGCGGCATAGCGTGGGACTCGCGCGCTGACGCTGCCTGGCCGTGTGTCCTGCGCGACATGTACTTGAGCAAGCTTAGTTAATTGCGTTCTTGATGACCCATCATCTCACCTGTCCTGGCGTTGTCGGCGCGACGGGTCCCCTTGTCGCCTCGCCTATCGCCCCCCCCCCTCCCTCAACCCCCACCGGGGGGCGTGTCCGTGCCCTCGGTGACGTCTATTAGTTCTGGCCACGGAGGGGAGGATAGCACGTGGCTTGGCGGCACTTGACCGCTACATTCATTTACCCCACATTATGAATTGCTGGGCCGTAGTACATAGTTCAGACGCTGGGCAGATGGTTTGTTTGCGGAAGGGGAGAAGGGCACCCGTCCCTCCGTATACGCCGACGGTCAGCCGCGTGCTGGCCGCGCGGGCCTCGCGAGGGCCATGTTGCCCCCCGCGGGCCGCGCTGACGGCTCCGCGGTCGTTATACTCACGGCTATCGACCAGACAGGGTCTGCGAGTGGAGTATAGGCCTCTATCGCCATAGTGATCTATTCTCCCCGTCGTCGCCCTGAAAGTTGCACTGCGGCACCCTTTTCGGCCACCCTCCCCCTCTCTTACCCCCAATAAGTTATTCGCCGGTCTCACTCTATTCATAACCGTTCTCTCTCTCCCTTTCTCTGCCGACAGATACACCATGGACTCTGGTCACCGCATACCGCTCAAACCCAACCCTCGCACGAGCACCAACTTCCTGTCGAAGCTCACCTTCCTGTAAGTATACCTCCGTTGGCTTGGCCTTGACGCCGCCGTGCTCGACGGTACCCGGCTCTCGCGGGCGCGGGCAGGGTTGCCTACCTCACGACGATCAGGCGCTAGGCGGTCGGGAGTGGTGTGATTTATAATTTTAAAAAAAATCTTTGCCTGCAGGTGGACGCTGCCCATTTTTCGTCAAGGATTGAGGAAGGAGTTCGAAGAGTCCGATTTATTTCAGCCTTTATCTGAGCATGAATCAGGGTTAATTGGGGCTAAATTGGAAACGTGAGTGATGTTGTTGTGTTTAAATAATCCATAGGTATAATTAATTAATACTGGCCACTACTTTCCAGAATATGGCAAGATGTTGTAAAAGAATCAGAAGGCAGAAATACTACTCCAAGCTTGATGAAAGCTTTACTAAGATGTTTTGGAAAAGAATTCATGTGTGTTGGTATTCCACTTGCTATAATGGAAATGTTTATTAGGTGAGTTAATGTTGTCATTTTTAAGGCCTGTATCAGTTAAAACAACATTCTTTCAAAGAATTTCTCTTTTGCTGGAAGTGTACTTAATTCATCTATGAAAACGTCAAAACAGAATAGTTTCAATACTCTTCAAATAATATTGAGCCATATACCCTCTACAAAAGAACATTTTCAGCAAAAAAAATTTTTTGCATTAACAGTTTTTTTTTTAATGTGAAGTGTACACATACGTTCCATAAACCTTGACAGTAAAGAGAATTCTGTTTCAGAATAATGCAGCCTATATTTTTAGGCTGGCTTGTTTCTTACTTTTCTGAAGAGTCCAAAGATGAAGAGTATGCTGGGTATGTATATGGAGTTTTGGTGATAGTCTGCTCAGCTCTCACTGTGTGGGTTGTCCATCCCTACATGCTTAGTATTCTTCACCTTGGTATGAAGATACGTGTTGCAACATGCTCATTGGCATATCGCAAGGTGGGCTTCTTCAAGATGGCTGTTGCTTCCGTTTTTGTTTTAGTGGTGCTGCTTATTATTGATTCATGGTGTTGTCAATAACTCACATTACTGCTTCCAGTTACTGCGTCTCAATCGAGCTGCACTCAAGGAAACAACACCAGGGCAGCTTGTCAACCTGTTGTCAAATGATGTGAATAGATTTGATATAGCAGTTCTCTTTATACATTATTTGTGGCTTGGTCCCCTCCAAACTTTGGTTATCACTGGTTTTCTCATTCATGAGATAGGCTTGGTGCCAGCTGTGGTTGGTGTTGCCTCACTGCTGGTCTATGCTCCCCTTCAAGGTAAACAGTAATCTTACTCAAGGAATCATCTTAAAGAAAGTTGGGTAAAAAAAATGTGTATTGAATATTGGGTCTGTTTGTAGGCTGGTTTGGCAAGCTAGCATCTGTCTACCGTTTGAAGGTTGCTATGCGTACTGATGAAAGGGTACGCCTCATGAATGAAATTATTGGAGCTATCCAAGTCATTAAAATGTATGCTTGGGAAGTTCCTTTCCAGAAAATGGTTGCCCTGGCCCGGAAGTAAGAAATAAATTTTTTGGTAATTACATGTAGTGGTTAAATTCTGGTACAAGCAGAGCTATAACTATTGAATTCTCCCCTCAACAGGCTTGAGATGAAACAAATCATGAATACAAACTACATAAGGGGAACTATAGTCTCATTCATAATTTTTGCCAAGCGTTTTTCTATTTTTGCGGCACTTTTAACTTTTGCCTTGGCTGGAGAAAAATTAACTGCCAAACATGTAAGGTTTTTACACATGTGAACTTTTTTACATTACATTTTGAAACTTAAAATAATTTTAGAACTCTCCTTCAATTTATAGGTATTCATTGTGACTGCCTACTTCAACATTCTACAGCATAACATGACAGTATTTTTCCCCCAAGGCATAACTCAATTTGCAGAGGGTTTAGTTTCTGTGAAGAGATTACAGGTAACAATTTTGCAGTGATTTCTTCAGTTATTGAGTCCTATACCTTTTAATATCTTCTTTTGGGTTCTAGAAAATAATGCTTTTACCAGAGCTAAAAAGTGTTCCTCGAAATGAGCTCAAGAAAGAAGGTGGAATAACTATGGTTGATGCCTGTGCAAAGTGGGATGACGAACTAACAGAAAATACTCTGACTGATATCAGTCTTAAAATTGCTGCAGGCTCGCTTGTTGCTGTTGTTGGGCCAGTTGGAGCAGGAAAAGTAGGAAATTTAAAGTTATCCTACCTGAGATTACTCTGTTAAAATAAATAAAATCCAATATGATTTTTTTTTCAGAGTTCTATTCTGAATGCAATCTTGGGTGAATTGGCTCTTGACTCTGGCAGTATGACTGTTGGAGGAACTGTGTCATATGCTGGGCAGGAGCCATGGTTATTTGCATCGACAGTTCGACAGAACATTTTGTTTGGGGAACCAATGGACCCAATTCGTTACAAGGAAGTTGTAAATGTCTGTGCTTTAAAGACAGATTTTGCTATGTTCCCTCAAGGAGATAGAACAATTGTTGGTGAAAAGGGTGTCTCTTTAAGCGGTGGTCAGAGGGCTCGCATAAATTTGGCCAGGCAAGTGTGGAGTATGTTTTTTGTTTATTGATTTATTTGGACTAAGTTACGTTTCATTGAACACGTTTTTTATATTTGTAGAGCTTTGTACCGTCAGACTGATATTTATCTTCTTGATGATCCACTGTCTGCAGTGGATGCTCATGTTAGTGCACACTTATTCCATGATTGCATATCTAAGTACTTGCATGGAAAAACTCGCATTTTAGTCACTCATCAACTACAATATCTTCCATTTGTGGATCATGTCTTTGTCCTAAACAATGTAAGTTAACTTTTCTACCTATCAACAATGAATATTTTTAAAAATTTTACACTCTTTTATAATGTACCTTTATTTTGTGTACTCTAATTTTAGGGTCATCTAGTTGCTCATGGGCCTTATGCAGAAGTAAAAGAAAAAGGTCTGGCTTCTCTCCTTGGGAGTTCAGTCCACGATGCTGAAAAAAGTGAGGTAAAAGAAGATGATAATGAGAAATCTACTCTCTTGAAGCGTGAGCGTGATTCACCGTCGAGACACTCTATCATCGTAAGTTTAAGTTATTATAATTCTCTCAATAACTTGACTTCGGACTCATGTATTATTACACCTTACTATTACTTTCAGAGTCACACTTCATCCACAGGACATGACTCCAAAAGATCAGTAAGTATTAAAGTTATTGGTTAATAAATTACTTTACACATTTCAGTGACCAAAACTTTACAACCTTATTTATTACTTTCAGTCCATTGACCCATCAATGATGGAATGTGTTCAATCTGAGGAGCCTGAAGAAAGGGCTCATGGAGCTGTGGGGTGGAAAATATTCACCTCTTATTTCATGGCAGCTGGCAACTGGTTTTATGTCATTTTTGTGCTTATGATGTTTGTTTGGTGTCAGATATTTGCAAGTGCTGGAGACTATTGGATTACTGTTTGGTAAGGCATTCTTCAGTAGTAGTGTGAACATTTATAAATATTTGTTGACAAATATTTATTTGTAATTTTATTTCAGGATAAGAGTAGAGCAAGACAACTATTTAAATCCAAATTCAAGTACAGTTTCATCTGAGCCATGGTATGGAGAATGGCCTCCCAACAGAGAGACTTGCATTTATGTCTATACGGTCATAACACTTGCCACCATTGTCATAACACTGGTCAGATCTTTCCTCTTCTTCCATATGTGTGTGCGTGCTTCAAGATGTCTGCACAATAACATGTTTGCAAGTATCACACAAGCGAAGATGAGGTTTTTCTATAACAATACATCAGGCAAGTGCCTTTTTCCTTTTTTATAATTATAAATCTTATCTAGAGCTTTTCAAATGTCTTACATTGCCTATTTTTCATTCAGGTCGTATTCTCAACAGATTTTCAAAAGATATGGGAGCAATAGATGAAATTTTGCCATTGTGTATGATTGACACTTTCCAAGTGAGCCTCTTATTACAATTAATATAGTTCTTTTGGCCTTGCATCAGTTTCTAATCATTCTACTTTTTTAAACAGATTGGAGCCCAGCTATTTGGTATAATGGTTTTAGTTTCCGTTATAAATTATTGGCTTATTATACCATTGGTAGTTGTATCGGTAATTGGGCTGTGGATTCGCAATGTTTTTATGACAACATCCAGAACTATAAAGAGGCTGGAAGGTGTTAGTAAGTACTATAATCCTTTACCCATTACTTTTTTATCGTCCCAGTCAAAGATTTGATCTCTAATTCTCACGAGTTTTTTCCAATCAGCACGAAGTCCTGTTTTTAGTCATATGACTGCATCTTTAAGTGGCTTGACAACATTGAGAGTGTCGAACATGGAAGTAAAATTGATTGAAGAATTTGACAGACATCAGGTGAAACAAATAATATTTACTTACTACTTTCTAAGACAAATCATCCATATCATGTTTTGACTTTAACACTTCTTTGCCTGCTTGTAGGACTTGCATTCCTCTGCATGGTACCTATTTTTAGCAACAAATAGGGCGTTTGGCTATTGGCTTGATCAGCTCTGTTTGATTTTCATCACAGCTGTGACCTTTGGGTTTCTTATTGGAAGCCATTTAGGTAAGAGCTCTAAAAAAACTCAAGAAAAAGTCAATATCTTTAGTCCTTTAGACAACCTACTCATTTATGCACTTTTCTTTCATCTAATATTTTTCACCAAGGTGTTTTTGGAGGAAATGTGGGTCTAGCAATAACTCAAGCAATATCCTTAACTGGAATGCTTCAGTGGGGCCTCAGGCAGGAAGCTGAAGTAGAAAACCACATGACATCTGTTGAAAGAGTTCTTGAGTATTCTTGTTTACCTTCAGAGCCACCATTGGAAGCTCCACCAGGTATCTAAATTTACTTAAAATTTATCATGTTATATTCAAGGTGATTTTGTAACTGTATTTTTACTGTATTTTTACTGTATTCTGAATGCTCTCAGAAAAGAAACCTGATCCACTCTGGCCCAAGGAGGGATGTATTGAGTTTGAAAATCTATACTTGCATTATGATCCTGAGGATCCTCCTGTACTAAAAAATCTCAACATTAAAATAAACCCTGGAGAAAAGGTACTGTTCAGTGTTATTTCCATCTTATTTATTCGAATCATGAAAACATTGAGTGTGACTGTTGAATTTGTTGTAGGTTGGCATTGTAGGTCGCACAGGTGCGGGAAAGTCATCTCTTATCGCTGCATTGTTCCGTTTGGAGGAGTTACGAGGACGTATTTCTATTGATGGATTAGACACAGGAATGATAGGGGTCCATGATCTTCGCAAAAAGCTTTCAATAATACCTCAAGAAGCAGTTCTGTTTAATGCAACATTGAGGAAAAATCTTGATCCATTTGAAGAGCATCCTGATGATGCTATTTGGTCAGCTCTGAGAGAGGCAAGAATATTCGGATGCTCTTCCATTCATCGTATTTTTGCAATGTGAACTATTAATCAAAATTAATTTTGTTGTGTTTTGTTGTATAGACTGAGCTTAAAGAAGTTGTAGATGAACTGGGCTTTGGTCTTCAGTCACCAATCCAAGAAGGAGGATCTAATCTTAGTGTGGGTCTGCGACAGCTTGTCTGCCTAGCAAGAGCAATTTTGAGGAACAACCGGGTGCTTATTCTGGATGAAGCTACAGCTAATGTGGATCCCCAGTGAGTTTTCCTTATTAAATCAACTTTATTCTCAATTTTAAAATTATGCTTATTCATGTACAAATATCATCAACTACTGTTTTTTATTTGCACTATAGCACAGATAAACTCATTCAAAAAATGATAAGAAATAAGTTTGGTCAGTGCACAGTCCTCACAATTGCCCATAGGCTGCACACCATAATGGATTCAGACAAAGTGCTCGTCATGGATGCAGGTTCCGTTGCGGTATGTCACATTTATTATCATCTTCAAAGAATGTTTCTTTATTTAAACTAACTCATTATTTGTCATTCTCCTTTGTAGGAATTTGATCATCCTCACATTCTTTTGAAGAACACTGATAGTCTACTGTATAAAATGGTTCAACAAGTTGGAGGAGCCAGTGCACAGAAATTGTTTTCTGTTGCTGAAGAGGCAAGTTACTTACATTTACACAAAATATTTTATAGATGCTGTGGCTCTGTTTTCATAATGAATTTGTAATTCTTCTGTTTTCAGAGCTACCTTGTGGCCAATTCTTCATGAGAACTTTGGACTGATTAAAGGGAAAATATCTAAAACATAAGATTTTTGTTTGAAGTGGTGCAGTATGGATGCCAAAGAGTATAAAATTGGGGTGCAAGTTAACTCAAAAATCAAGATTGGGCCTCGATTTGTTCCTTGGGGGATACCCATCTTTTTTTCCAAATGTGTAATGACATTCCTTTGGTCTGACAGAATTCTTGATTTTGACCTTAATTTATCTCTCAAAAGGAGTGACCGTCATATTGTTCATCTGAATAATAATTTATTGAGTCTGATTATGTATCAGTCTTTATTGCCATATGTGATTGTTTTAAATGAAAAAGGCGCTAAACATGATTTTACATTTTCTTGAACTTGAAATAATCTGTGATTGCAGGCACATACATTGTGCTCAGGGGGTTCTTAAGTTTTATTCATCTAATTAACCAGTATTCTTGGAATAATATTATGTTTTAAACCTCTTTAGAATTTGTTTCTCTTAACAAATACTGTTTATAGATCTTATTTATGAAAAACTGCCTTGTAATTTTCTAATGACAAATATTTTTACTTGTCTATTTTGTTTTATTGCATTTTGTAATAATTATTATTAGATGTACATTTTTACTGTGTCCTGTAATAAATGTTTTATCACAAAGGTTTTGTTTTTGTTCAACGTACATGTTGGTGATTATTTTATCAACTACATTACCTTATCAAACTGGTACTGGAAGATTGCACACTGAAAGGAAAAAACTAAAGCAGTCTCTACAAGCAGCGGCTTAACTTTTAGCGCAACTGACACACAATTGGAAAGTAATTGGGGTAATTGCATCCAAACATTTTCCATTCATTTTTCAAAACGGCCCTCCCCTCGGCTGGGTGTAACTGAGTCAGGGTGTTCAACCTGGCCAATGACATTTCACAAAATAAATTGCCCAGTAAAATTACTTGTTTTCACGCCTTAACCTTAACAGACTCAACTTTACTTTTGCACTCTTGGACTTTTGAAGTAAACGAGTAGAATTCAATAAAAAGACTAAGAAAACTTCCGAGACAAAATCAAAACAAGTTGGTAGCTGTGCGGTGGTGAGCCGTGAAATTCAGCTTGGCTAACTTTGGAATAATGGACTATCCGAAACGATGAATGAAGTATTTTAAAGTAATGTAATATTAGCATATATAACTTTGAAAATGCTGATCAAAAAGCAAAATGATTACCTGTGGGTTACACAGTTTGAATACAAGTGTTATCAGCACATCTCTGTCTCAGTGTTATTGTGATAGCCCTGCTGCTCTCTTCAGCAAAGTGAGTTGTCATCTGTCATGGATGCCTGTGTTGTTCTCGACAGACGGCGTCCGTGTATTTTTGTGTTTTTGTTTGTGTTTTAAGTGCGTGTGAGAGTGTGACTATTTAAATTTCATATCTAAACCCTCCGTGCGTCGTGACCCTTCGATGCAGTGTTCTCTTGGGCCGTGCGCCTCGGCTCTTGGCTCACTTCGGCTATCCCTATTGGAGAGCCCTAGGGCACCCTAGGGCCTAAGTCAGCCTAGGCCTCAATATGGGCAACTGCTTCAGCCGTCAAAGATCGCCCACCAAGAGCGATGCCGGAGGCTTGGTGGCTCCGATCAACAACAAGGATGCAGCCGCCCCAAGTACCTCAAACCCACCTCTTGCCATTCCATCCCATGAAACAGCAGTGCGTGAGGTTAGGAATGGCCCGATGCCTCCTATCCCCGAACCAGAGATGAATAACTCTGGCATGAACGCTAAAATTTTCGTGGCTCTCTACGACTATGATGCGCGAACGGACGAGGACTTGAGTTTCCGTAAAGGCGAGCACCTGGAGATCTTGAATGACACCCAGGGAGATTGGTGGCTAGCCCGCAGCAAGGCATCAAAGCAGGAAGGCTACATCCCATCAAACTATGTGGCCAAGCTGAAGTCCATCGAAGCAGAGCCGTGAGTATTTTAAAATCTTTCTTTAATCTAGTTGGTTTATTGTTTGGTTCTCTGCGGGTAGCATGCTGAGTACGCCCAGCTCAGCATGTATATGGGGTGGCTGAGAGTACTAAACCTAGCCTTGGTATTCAGATTTGTTTGGAACTTTGTAGCGCTCTTCTCATTCCCTATTCTTGACCCATGTTTTGAAACAGCTTTGACTGAATGATTACTTTGATAATGTAATGGTGTGCAGTTCTATTATCATAAATTTGGTGGGTCTATTTAATTGTGTTTAAGTTTTGTGCCCTTATTGCAGCTAAGGCAATCACGGGTATTCTGTTACTGCACAATTTCCTCCTCCAGTCAATGGAACATACTCCTCAGTGACTGGCCAAGCTTCCTCATACTCTCAGAAGTCTTCTAATGACATCTAATTGCTTCAGTATCACTCGGTGGAAAACTTGCCAGTGCCTCCTCTGTTCTGAATGCTAATGTCCATCCTGCAACATTATGGACCTGTGGTTCATTTCCTGACAATTTTGTGATGGCTGTTATCTTGTTGTGGCTATCAGTTCCCAGAATGTCACTGAGCCAACCTTATCACATCCTCCCGCACTCACACTTTTGTTTGGAATTCATATCACAATTGCATAAAGCTCATCTGTTGTGCAGTCATATCTTTCCCCACTGCCCTATAATATGTGCCTGATTGACCAAGTTGACCAATTTAGAGTTATTGGGCTTGTATTGGTGCGTTGGATGAAGTTATCTCCGTCTCGCTTGCACGCATAGGCCGGCCAGCCCTGCGGCCGGCAGGGTCGTATGATTGAATGGATTGTGGGGGGGGGGGGGGCTGCTGTCGGACCTACGGGGGCCCACTGTACTGTAGTCCATGTGCCGGGCCTGATATCTCACGACACTACCAAGAACTTTATTCAAACTATACTTTTGTGTCACTCTTCCGTTGTTTGGTTTTTAATTGGACGGAACCGATCTTCCATTCCCTCTGAACGCGGAGAAGACCACGCCGGCGGGGCGGCAGACAGGAGGGCGGCGGGGGGTGAGGGGGATTATAATAAAGCCGTGACGGTAAAATCGCAAGTGTGACTTTGCTCGTCGTCTAAAGCAATAAACAACAATTTCTCACAGTGAAAGTGCCCCCTGTCTTGGGGCAGGTAGGCAGAGCGTGGCGACGCGTGGCGCCCGGTGCGGTGGGCGTGGGAGG